GGCAATTGACGAATCGGGAACAACCTTGCAACAATTTTGGAAGGACTTTAACATCTACTGTACAAGGCCATAAAAAACATTGACTTTGCTTGGCGTGAGGTTACAGCTAAACCCTCTTGTCACCTCAGGTCATTGATGCCTAGATGCCCTGACCAAATGTAGCAACCTCTGCATGTGTCTCTTAACAAGAACTCTTTGACTAATTATCAGCAGTGTGAGATCTAAGGCACTAGTTGTCTCTAACTGCTAGTCTCAGGAGATTTGGTGATATCCCTATGGTACTGCTCACTGTTGTTCTTGCTGGAACCCCTGCCTCTACCGAGATGTCTGCCTGCACAAAGGCATTGTAAGGTAGTAATGGGAAAAGATCTACCTGCTTTTTTGGGCATAGTTTCCAGAGTTCCATGCCTTAAATCTGCAGGCTGACAGCTTTCATTTTTGTCAATGGAGCCTCCAGGCTGCATGTGATCGCATGTCAGAACTGACATGCTGATCATATGATTGGGAACCGCTCTGATTGGTTGCTACAACCAATACAAACACTTCTCTTTCTTCCAGGCTTTATAAACTTGCTCATTGTGCTGTAAAATACCCTTTACAGTATGTATGAGATGAAGTTCCTATGACCAACTTATTTCAGACATGTCAGTGTAATCAGCACTAGCACACGTATTACCCATAAGTAAATATCATTATCTGACAATTTACAACAACATGATTGCGTAAAAGTGAGAGGGAGCTTTGGCGGATTTTGTACTCGAACATTAAACAGGGATCCACAACACATGAGAAATGAATTAGTGGCAGTGAACTAGCGTAAACACCATGTGGTTAAGCACAAAGAGAAAGCAGATTGATTATGGTACTAAATCTCATTGTTAAATGGTGTATCATAACCTTATGTAGATTTGTTTAGTTTATAAAATCTATTTTCTTCTTATTGATTTACAATTTTTTTTTTTCAAACTAATCACAACTATCAGAATAAGGTTTAAAAGTTGAATTGGGCTTCAAATGTATCAAATGACAATCCACTAGTATTATATAAAACTTATACAAACTACGTTCAAATAAACTCATATAAGAAATATAGTTTGTAAGAGTTTTATATAAAATTTTGGGATTGTCATTATGTAATTGTTTGATACCTTTAAAGCCCCATTCAACTTTTAAACTTTATTCTGATGTGGTTAGGGCCCAGGGTTATTATTAAAATTATACAGGATTTATATAGCGCCAACAGTTTGCACAGCGCTTTACAATAAACGGAAGACATTACAATCACAATACAATTCAAGACAAAATGGTAAGGAGGGCCCTGCCTGTGAGGGCTTACAATCTAACAGGGAGGGGGAGGTGATACATGAGGAGGTAGCTGTGTGGGGATGAATTGTTTGAGAACGTGATGGCTGAGTAGTTAGGTGGAGGTGGCAAAGGCTTCCCTGAAGAGATGAGTCTTTAGGGAACGTCTAAAAGCAGTCAAGGTGGGAGACAGACAGACAGGTTGGGGTAAAGAGTTCTAGTGGTTGGGAGAGACTCTACATAAGTCCTGGAGGCGAGTATGGGAGGAGTTGACAAGGGTGCTAGAAAGCAGGAGGTCTTGGGAAGAGTGGAGCGGACAGTGATACTTTGAGACAAGGTTTGAGATATAGCCGGGGGCGGAGTTGTGGATGGCTTTGTAAGTGATTGTTAATATTTTGAATTTGAGTGGAAGCCAGTGTAGGGATTGACAGAGGGGGGTTGCAGACGCTGAACGGTTGGTTAGGTGGATGAGTCTAGCAGCTGCATTCATGATAGACTGAAGGGGGATAGCCTATGTAGAGGTAGGCCAGTGAGGAGGGAGTTGCAATAGTCAAGACGAGATATAACAAGTGAGTGTATGAGTAATTTTGCGGTTTCTTTGGTGAGGAAGGGGCGTATTTTGGAGATGTTACGAAGGTGTTGGGTTATAATGCCCATTGCAATTTATACTAATCACAACTATTAAATGATATTAATGTTTTTATAAATAATCTTAGAACTTCTTTATTTATGCTGAGTAAACCATTTTGAGCACTCAAAAGATAGAAAAAACAAGGGCAAGATAAGTGCCCTTGCCCATGTGAAGCAAAGCCTTAAGTACACTTGAATGCCACCCATCCAAACTGCTCATATTTACCTTTTGTTCTCCGACTTCTCTGCCACCAGGAATGGAAATAATAATCCAGTACTTCTGGGTATGGAGAGCATGTAACCTACTACAGCACTGTGTGCTAAAGCAACTAGACGCCAGGAATGAGTGCTGTCGTGTGGGTACATGGAAAGAGTCCCTAGCCCCATGTTAAGCTTTGACCACCACAAATTGTAGATTACACATGGTTCGTTCTCTTCACCCTTAAAGCCTCATTCACACACACACGCAAGAGCAAAATTATACGCATATTTGTAAATGCGTATAGTCGCGTGTGTATGCGCGTTTATGTGCATCTATGCGTGAACTGTATGCAATCCCAGAATGCGTAATTTTTCATAGAAACTTTATTATACTGTACGCGTGTACGTGCATATACGCACATACAAACGTAAAATACGCAGAAATTCCAAGCCCGGGCGCATCTCGGTTCCATTTGTTTGGGCGCATCTTTATGCAGCGCAAAAATACAGCTCCATACACAGCTATGTGTATGGAGCCATATATTTGCATATGCTGCATATGGGAAAAAATGTTGCATGCATCTATGCACAGCATATTATACGGCAGTGTGAATGAGGCCTTAAGGCGTAGGGAGCAGTGGGGAAACCAAGCAAAGGTAAATATAAACAGGTGGAGGGTGAAAGTTAAGTGAAAAACAAAGCACTGGTGCACCTAAGAGGTGGGTTAGGTAAAGGATGGTGTCACGGATTAAATTTAGATAAGGTTTTAGAGCTAAATTAGGAGTTACATTTTAAGCCCTGTTCACACTTGCATGGCGCGTTAACACCCGTCAGCACAAGGCAGCTTTTTCAATGGGCTGAAACGTGGCAAAGAAGCTCATGCAGCAGTTTGAGGTGGGAGCTTCATGCGTTTTTTGACTATGTGTTTGTCATTTGGCATTTTGCCTCTCACATTTGGGGTTCCATTCAGGGGCGGATTAAGAGTATCATGGTCCTGGTGCTAAGGGTCAGCCCGCACCTTTGACTGATTGTGTTCACAGCCCGGCCAGCCCAAATTGCAATCCGGCATACCGGGGTGATCTGGGCCTGTTTTCCGTTGTGGGCCTGGAGCTGGAGCTGGCGCTCCAGCAGCCCTTATGTTAATCCGGTCCTGGTGCCATTAACAAATAATGGTGCCACAAATTAATCACAAATTTTCCCACACAGCAAAGTGTGAATGAGGCCTAAGCCTTAATGGTTGCATTAAGAATCACAGGGTTAAATCATAGGTTATGAGGGGGTTTGGGTTTAAGTGTTAGGTTAAATGTAAAATTTCATTTTACAGATACGGTAGAGGTTAGGTTTAAGTGTTATGGGGAGGTCAAGTGTTAACAGATCTTTTTTACAGTTAAGTGTTGGAGAGTAAGTCAAAGTAAGATGAATTTCTAGGGTCTTGTGAACGATTAGGGATAGGGTACATGTCAGGGGGTATGATTTCACAGATTTAAATTTACATTTGACTGCAGCCATGAGAGCCTCAACCAATAAAAAAAACTGTAACGGTTCATTTTAACGTGTATTTGAACTGCAGAACAAAAAAACAAAATGTAACATATTGCAGCTTACTAGTCTTTAGAAGTAGCGGATGCATGAGTTTTTCTATTTTATGCTCTCCTTTCCCTGAAGATCCTGCCAGTAACACACTTCCTATCTTGTGACATCGCTGAGTGCGTTAGGACTAAGGAAGTTTGTTAGGAGTAAAGAACACCTTCCCCTCTCCTCATCTCATTAACACTGGAGAGGGGTATAGTCCACAGTGGTAACCTGTGCAGGACTGACTGCTTGACATAATACTACTGAGTTCTCAGGAAGTTATGGGCTAACTTTATTTCTGGCAGGATCAGCAGGAATTTGTTTGCACTTATTGAACAGATCTAACAAAACACTTTTAAATTGTATATTTAAAAGATCAAAAGGGAGCAAAAAAGAGACGTTCACCATTAGGGCTTACATACACTTCAACATTTTATATTGGGTACATTGTATTGACTTTTCCATGACAACAACTGTCTTGTGTCTGGTCACACATAAGTCTATTTATATGAAATATTTGAGGCTGTTTTATTTCGGATTGTTGTTTTTTTTTTATCCTACATCCTTCCTGCTGCCCTGTTTGTTTAGATACAATGTTTGTGTACCACTTGAACTTGTTACTATGTCTTTAGCGTTGTGTTGTGATCTCATTAAGAAGGGTGTCTACATACAAGTCTGCACTTTTTTTATCCTTTCTTCTTTTTTTTTTTTTATCTTTCCTGTTTGTTCTTCCTCGGTTGCCTATTTGATAGCCGGATTTGCTTTATTTTGGCTGTCTCCATTGCTTTCCCTGTCTGCTTGGCTCTGGGTGCGCCTCTCTCTCTCTCTCTCTCTCTCTCTTTCTCTGTGAATGCCCTTCCTCTGTGCCTCTCTCAATGTTACTTCCAAATCATCCAGCTTGGGAAATCAGACACAGCTCACAAAATGCACAATCCACGCCGCACTTTTCACCAGGATTACAATCTCAAGCCTGTAACACAATACTCTTCATTTTTTATTTTTTTTCCCTTTTAAAGCCACAGCCAAACGACAAATAATAAAAACAATAGTGTCCACTTCCTGATCAACGAATCACAAATATGCACAAGCTTAGATCCACAGTACACCAACTCCCGGGAACCCACTGTCAGGAGAGTATGACACCAATACCTCCCCATTCCCCTTTCACAAGGGTAAATTGATTGTCAGACAAATCATTTGTGTGCCATTATAAGGGGTTAATACAGGCCTTTTACTGAAAGTGTGAGCGTAGAGGTGCCAAGGTGGCACAAGTCATGGAGGGTAAGCTGGGTTACCTTCTTATGGCTCCTGGTGTAGCTGAAAGAGGCGATCCCTGCCCTTGGAGGGACAGACAGCAGCATTTTTCCTTTAAGGTACAGGGAGATGGGACACAGGAGACTGGCAGATCCGTCCAGCCCTCTGACGTCACACAGCCTATAGTACTGGCCTGCAGGGTCCTAGTGCCCTCTGTGGATAAGGGGAGGGCTGGGAGGGAGTTCTGAAGTTAACCTCTTCTATGCCAAATGTGTTTGGGACTTTAACTTTCAGGCAAAGGTGAACAAATTATGGAAGTGTTATGCATTTTTATGCATTTCCCCCAAAAAGATCACATTTTTAGAAAGTTTTTTGTTGTTGATTGTAAACTCTCATGAGTAGGGGACCTTCTTATCCTCTCGAATGGAATTGTAGTGTAGCTGTACTCCCTATATTTTGTAAAGCACTGTGAAAACTGTTGACGCTATATAAATCCTGTATAATAGTAGTGATGATAATAATAATCACTTGTAATCTGAGAAATTAGGTAACTAACAAAAGGGAACAGAGCGCCACCTCCATGTGTAAAATCGTTTATTAATATAAATAAAACAAGGGATAAATGTACTAACAAGCAAACGTTTTCATCACGCTTTAACAACAAACAAGAGGCCACACTGTCTGTTAACCCATCATGGTATCCCCCCCGACGAATGATTCTGATGAAGGCGGCTTGCCCCTGAAACGCGTAAATCTTGGTTTACTGCGGCCAGTGGACGGTGATGTGACCGCAGGCAACCGTGTTGCGATACCATGTTGGGTTAACAGACAGTGTGGCCTCTTGTTTGTTGTTAAAGCGTGATGAAAACGTTTGCTTGTGAGTACATTTATCCCTTGTTTTATTTATCTTAATAAACGATTTTACACACGGAGGTGGCGCTCTGTTCCCTTTTGTTTTCTAT